GCGCATTTTCGAAACTGTGCCCCTCGCGCCGCCATTTCTTTGACAAATACGATCGATCAGCGCTTGTTCGATAACCGGCTGAGAAATATTAACCCTTTGCACTCGAAGCCGCTTTAACTGTAAATCTAAAATCATTTTTCCGACCTATGCTGTCTCTATTTTATATGACAGAGCGCATTTTCGAAACTGTGCCCCTCGCGCCGCCATTTCTTTGACAAATACGATCGATCAGCGCTTGTTCGATAACCGGCTGAGAAATATTAACCCTTTGCACTCGAAGCCGCTTTAACTGTAAATCTAAAATCATTTTTCCGACCTATGCTGTCTCTATTTTATATGACAGAGCGCATTTTCGAAACTGTGCCCCTCGCGTCGCCATTTCTTTGACAAATGCGATCGATTAGCGCTTGTTCGATAGCTGACTGAGAAATATTAACCCTTTGCACCCGAAGCCGCTTTAACTGTAAATCTAAAATAATTTTCCCGACCTACGCTGTTTCTATTTTATACGACAGAGCGCATTTTACGCGTGTGAAATTGAGTCTTGCGACTTATACAACAGTTATATTTTTAACAATTTTTCAAATCTAAATTTTGTCGATGTAAGAATTATTTTAGAATATGACATAAACATTTTTCTAGCGGTGCCTCGGAGTCACCACTCGAGCGCAAAGGGTTAAGCTAATTATATTTTAAGATTTTTATATCCTAGACATTTGAAGGGGCGGGGACGACTAAGAGCCCTTAGCGACTAACACCGTCCCTTAACGCGTTAGAACTTCATGCTTGGTGAAAGCGGAAACAATCGGTAAGCTAAAGAGCTTGTTTCGAACGCGGACGCTAGCTGCGTTTATCTTTTGTTCAATTAAAGATCCCGAGTAAGTGTCAACAGTTGATCATTCGACACACTCTTGTCTTCGTCCTCGATGATTTCGTTGATAGAACCAGATCATTGTTAACACTAGAATCACCAAAGCAGTCAGAATGCTGCGATTTCCTCTTTTACAATTGTTGATACTATAAAAACGTTTTCGTCAGACATTTTTGTACGAAGTTCTTCATTCGGTCATAGATTATAATAAAGATCGTAGAAAGTTCAAATATGAATTCGATCTTATCATTGTTATAAAACAACATACATTAGTCGCGTTTAGGGCTCGGGGTAGTTTCAGTGTCAAAGAATCAGAATCTATTTCGATCTAGAAGAAACTTGTAGCATTGATATTTAGCAGACGTAGAAAATCTTCGTCGCGAGTCCGACTTGTTCTCATAGCGCGAAGGGTTATAATTACTATAACTGTGTACTATAACAGATCGCACAGATATCTTGCACCGAGTCTATTTCGATTTAGAAGAAACTGATAGCATTGATATTTAGCAGACGTAGGAAATCTTTGTCGCGAGTCCGACTTGTTCGTATAGCGAAGGGTTAGAATTACTATAACTGATGATCAGATCGCACAGATATCTTGCACCAAGTTGAGATAGCTTTTCAATCGCGAAGGCATCTTTCAAGCTTTGAAACTTTCCCAGGAGTCGCCTAATGTACCCTCGAATCTTCTAAACTCCTCTACGAATCGCGTAGACGCATTCAAACGGCGTTAAACTTTCAAAATCTCGCGGGGCTCTTGCAAGATCCGAAACTCTCCTACCGATAGACTCGCATAAACTTGGCTACCAACCGCCTGTACGTCCTTAAACGTCTAAAACTGTGCTACCGATCACCTCGACGTCCGTTTTAAAACCGTTCTACCGATCGCTCGAACTTCCACAGATCCCCCGTACATTCTTTATCGTCGAACACGTCGCTACAAATCACTCGAACGTCCATCTAATTGCTAAGCCTCGTCTAACAACGATACCCGCGATGCATCGATCTCACAAACCTCGCGACTGTTCCCTCGGTACCATCGATATCGAGACGATCACGCGCAGACAACGAGAGACTGCTCGATGCGTTCTCGATACTCGATCCGAAAGGACGTTCCGTGGTCGCGATCCTTTCGATCGCAGCGAAAAAAAAGAAAAAAAGAGAGAAGCAACGCGCGGTCCAACCGATCCTCTTCGTCGATCGCGGAGAAAAACCAATAAAAGGGAAGGCGACGCGCGGTCCGACCGATTCTTCTCGTCGATCGCGGAGAAAAGACAAAAAAAAAGGGAAGGCGACGCGCGGTCCGACCAATCCTTTTCGTCGGTCGCGGAGAAAAGACAAAAAAAAGGGAAGGCGACGCGCGGTCCGACCGATTCTCCTCGTCGATCGTGGAGAAAAAGCAAAAAAAGGGAAGGCGACGCGCGATCCGACCGATGCTCTTCGTCGATCGCGTCGAGGGTGGCGAGGGTGGCGGAAGAAAGTCGTCCCCCCGGGGCGGCTGGAAAAATCGCGAATTCGACGCGGGAGAAAAGAAAAGAGTTTCGTCACGGCATCGTCGCCTCGGATACCTGAGTGAAGGTGCACTTAGCGACTGGCGCGTTGCCCGGTACTTCGATGTTCACATGGGTGTCCGCTCGCATAAGAATCTTCATGGTCAAGGGTTAGGACGCTGCCAAATCGGGCAGCGATGGGGAACAGAGAGAAGAAGCTGTCGCCGCGATCGAGACGAACGGAAACTTTCTGCGCGCCGATTAGTAGCAGTATCGATTCACGGCCGGATCGAAAACTTTGATCGCGAGAGCCGATATCCAACACAGCGCGGCGACGTTCACCGACGCGATCGCGATCGCGCTAGAGATCTTCCACCCTGCTGCGATCCTCTTTCACAGGGGAGATATTGATCGGTGTCGTTCTATCGGTCTGTATCGGCCGCGACGTCGACGTCGACGTCCGTAAAATATTGCCGCTCGTTATTGACACTCGTGGACCGACGGGTGGTTCTCCGCTTATATAGGGAACGATGCTGGGGGGCCGCGAGCCTATCCCTTCCCTTTTCGCGGCGAGGATCCATCGTCCGCGAATCGGACGATTATGTACGCGTGTATATATATATATACATATATGTACGGCGGCGCGTGTATGCGCGCGGTCGTCTCTCGTTTCGCGTTAGGTCCTACGCGCGAGCGTGACTCCGACTCGTGCCATTCCGTCGATCATGCCTCGACGCACCGTTCCTCGGGGGGGACACGTGGGTTACCGTTTTCGAGGGCCGTGACACATGTCAC